AGAAACACACAGAGCTGACAGCAGAAATTCTCTCAGCCACCTAAACAAACTAGTCTAATATCAGCATGATACTTATCTCTGTGGGAGATAACAGCTTTGGAAGTGAATTTTCCCAGAAATGAAGACAAGGGAATGGATATAAAGTACATCAGAGGGCATCTTATCGACATGAGCCCAGAGCCTCATGCCAAGATGTATGTCTGGAGTAATTATAATTTCTGTTCAAAGCTTCCTTAATTGGCATTCCTCAAATCTAGATAATTGACTGGGAGTGTGACCCGACTCACACTGGTGGACTTGTTCTCCAGAGGAGAACACTGATAACAGGCTTCTTTGTCATCATGGGTGAAGAAATGTGACAATCTGGGAACTGGTTTTAGAGCCCCATCTGCTAAACCAGAAAGAAATCAAGATTTTACAGTTCTATAAATATTTTAGTGTGTCCCATCATTTATGAACTGTGGCAGCTATCATAAAACGTCCCTGACTTTTGTTACAACTGCATATAAGGCCAGAAAATTGCATCTCGTGGTAAACCATAAAAACCTAAGTAAAAGCACCATTCCTCTCAGTATATCCTAAAAATATACAACCTCCCTGTCAGTCCACGGCAGGGTAGTTACCATCCCGGGATGCCTGTTTTCTTCTCATTTTTTTATCTGATCTTACCCTGGTCTTTTCAAGCCCTTTTGTATTTCAGTATCTTTTTATGTTTCATAAATAACAGCCATAGCCACATAACAGCTGAAATAGATTTCACTTTGTCACAACACACTGTAAACAAGAGACATTTGAATGGTGGTATGGCTGCCATACAGTCAGCCTTCATTTTTGACCCAGTGTCTAATTGCTAAAGATGTGAGTCTCCTTTTGTCCCTAGTGAGTTGCTTTCATATTATGATTAAAAGAGTTTAATTAAGAGGGGGCTGGCAGATTTATGAGGAAGCCACTCCTAAGGAACTATGTAGAAAAGTATACAGAAAGTTTAACTTGACATTGAGATTAACATGGAGGTTGGGGGATTATTTCATCTCATTCCATATGCTCATTCTTTGAATTTTTCAGATGCTGCATGATATTCGTGATCTGTTCTCTCAACTGTCTTTTCAGCCTCATCACAGCTCTTGAAACAGTGATAGCTATGAGGGTCAAGACATGTTGAGGGGGACAAAGTATTCATGCTAGCACAATTTAGCAACAGAATGATTCTCTTCTTAACATACTATGATTTGATAAGCTACAAAATTAAGAAAGGAGTAGACCCCAGGGCACAGTCATTTGGAGAAATCTGGGTGCATACACAGTTACACAGTAAATGTGTTCTGCTATACGTAGCATGCTACATACTTTTGAGAATTAGACAATCTCTTTGTTTCCTCTCTCCCTTTCCTCCTCCCTCTCTCGATACCTCCATCTCTCACCCTCCCTTTCTCCCTCTTTCTGTGTTGATGATCAAGTCCCGGCCTAGCTTATACTACCCTAAGCATTCACGCTCCTGAACTCTATCACAAGCTCTCTCTTGGTCTCTCATAGACAGATGAATTTATGATTCCCAATGTCTAAATTCCACTTGAGTATTTATCATCCAAATCAAATACTTCTCAGCTTGTGTTTTAATGTGATTTCCAATCCCCTAAAATCTGCCCTTCTACTCCCATTCTCCTTACTATAAATAAGCTTTTCTCACTCACAGGGAGCAATGTCCTAATACTTGAAATGGGAATGTGGATACGAGACAATATGAAGCAGATTTATTGCTCATGAATGCAGTTTAGGCACACCCTCCTTTGTGATGGATTGCCTTGTATGTTCCTTTTTCCCAGACAGAAACCGTGTAAATAAAATCACACCCTGGGTTTTCTTCCTAGTCTCTAGACAGCTCGGATTTGACCTGAAAAAAAAAAAAAAAACCTTTCAGACTCAGACAGTCTGAGCAGGGGAAGAAGGCACAGGGCCCCAGGGAGACATGAGGCGGCAACGGAACTTGATGTTCTGACATGCTGAACTATATCTGCATGCTGCAGAGCAAACATACAGTGATAGGAAAGACATCCTGAGTAGCAGAAGTCCTGAACAGTTTCGGCAATTACTTCAGGAAGACTTGCCTCTTGCTAGGTAATAAAAGCACATTCTCTCTCAGTTTTCTTTTCTAGAAGACGGCAGGACCATGCACTTAATACATATCTTGAACACCACCCATGTCTACCCAAAATTGTAAAATTAAGATATATAAGGCAATTAGTTATTTTCCAAGGGCCTGAAGTAGAGAGTGAACACAATAGAATATAATTTTTGTTGTCCTTGTGCCTGGTACATAGTAGGTACGCAATGGATTTTGCTTGAATTGGATTAAGTTAAACAGAGATGCATGTACTGTAGGAAGTTCTTTGTACTCCGTGCAAGCAGACTTCAATGAGGACACTTCAGCCATATCAGGGCAGGATGAGATGAGTGAACACCAAACCCTCTGGTCTTTACCTTGGCGAATTCTTACATGAATGCTCTTAATTAGCCATTTTCCCATATTATTAGTAGACTCAGGTTTCCAAGAATTGAAATAACTTGCTTGTGGTTTTAAAGCTCAATAAAAATATCAGGGTTTGAACTCAGGTCACCTGGTTCTAAAACCACATGAAAAGAATATACATGAAATTTGCAGGTAAATGGATGGATCTAGAAACTATTAGACTAAATGAAGTAACGCAGACTCAGAAAAACAAACGGCATATGTTCTCCCTCATATGTGGCTTCCAGCACCAAATCCTTTTAAATTCTAGGTCCTTTTAATAAGATGATGATATACAGGAGTCTCTTCCGCATGAAATAACTACTATCATCACTTCAGCTGAGCCTGATCACTAAACATAGTCACAATTGGGATTGTTGATGGTTGTGTTCGTTCATTAAAGGAATGCCAAGCAGGGTCACTGAACTCTGAATATCCAGCCACTCTTCCCAGGCAATTAGCCCAGCCTTAGAAGAACAAAAGAAAAATGAGGAAGAACCCAATAGAGGGATGCTTTCGGAAGCCCTTGTCAAGAAACTCCAGTGGACTCGGATAAGAACATTTGAAAATTGCACTGTTCTAACTTTTTTCTAGTTCCCTGTCTAGAACTTGTAATGCTAATTCCTCTTGCCTTTACTTCTCCTTCACATCTCCCATTCATGATTCAAGGAATTTTTCTTCCCTTAGAGATAAAAGTTATGCAATTTGGGAGTCTTTTAGATAGACCCACTGAAGGGGTACTCCAATTGCTTCACCCTGCATTCCTGTTCAGCACGGAAGAAGCCAGAGCGATCGGCATCCCTATTCCCTATTGGCAATTTGAGTAACCCCTTCAGAGGATGGTGTGATAAGAATAAGAGGTAGGACTTGGCTAGGCAGTTAGGGTAAAAAGACCCCAAAGAAATGTAGCCAGTTTCTTGGCTAAAAGTCAAAATGTCCTTGGGCCTGTTAGCAATGTACTCTGTTCTAAGCCAAAAATGTCCAAAAGTATTTGGGAACTTGTATCTAATCCTTAAAAGATTTTAGGGTTACCTCTTCAGAGGGGGGAATGTTGGGGGGAGGCCGTGGGCATGGATTTGATCAAAACACCTTATATGCATGTATGAAATTCTCAATAAAGTTTTTGTAAAAATTACAAAAAAAAGAATATACATACTGAAAAAACTCAGACTCCCAAGACAGCATTCTGTCAGTCACATTAGAAAAAGAATTCTGTGAATGCTAAGTAATTAAAAGGATAGCCTCTTTTTCCTTCTATTTTTACTTTTTTAGAAATTTTGATATTTTATTTATTATTTATATTTTATGTGTATGAGTATATTCCCTGCATGTGTGTAAATGCACCCGTGTCCTTCAATGCCCGTGGAAGTCAGAAGAAGGTGTTGGATTTCCAGGAACTGGAATTACGGATGGCTGTTAGTTGCCAGATTGGTTTAGGTTAGTGTTTTATCATAGCAACAGCAAACAAGACAACAGCCTTCTCTCATTGGTAAGGAGAATGTTACCTGAGAGCTTAATCTGCTATCGCTTGTCTTGAGTTGTTTCTCTCCTTACCAGAGGTCACAACTGAAAGCTGTGAGAAGAAATTTTACGTAGATCTAAATTCCATAAAGTCAGGAACTTTCCCACCTTTAGAGTCACTATTGAGCATCACCTGCTCCACAAGAGATTTTATCAAGCAGGGGGATATTGAGCAGACAGCCTCCAGATTGCCTTTTGACTTCCAGTTGCAACCATCCCATGGGAGGTTTCTCTAAAGTGAATAGTCTCCTTGAATGGACCGTTCATATTCACAGCTTCTGGAAAGAAAATTACAGTCATAGTCCATTAGAGTTTGTGCAATCTTGGAATGCAGACTCCATGAGCATCCTGTCTGTTGTGACCATGGAGAATGTGATCCCATGTAGTAGACCACAAGGAATAGATTCTAGTGCAGATAATGAATCCTGTAGAAATGTCAAATGAACATATATGAAAATTAAGCCATCTCAAGGCTGCCAGGAGGAGGTAGAATTTTAATCCAAGTAGACACTGCTATATTTCCTTAGCTATCCACTTTCTGTGGTCGGGTCTGCTTGTCAATTTGAAGTACTGACAGGACCACAATCTGGGGATAAAGAGTTCCCAGTTCCATTTCCGAGTATTCCAACGCCTAACAGCCCACCTCTGACTATCCACTTAAGAGTGCGTGTAGGCCTGATAGAATGACCATGGATGGTAGGGATTCATTTCCGAAGCAGGAAGCCAGAGAGGAAGGAAGCACCAGGCTGATGCATGCTGTGGTAACTGAATCCATGCCTGTGTTTAATCAAAGGGCACTAGTGAGTCACAACCGGGAGGGCAGAGTCCCCAAGTCAGTAATCAGCAGCAGAAGGCCACATCAAATGCTGCTCCCTCTGCTTGACTTCCTGCTCCCTATTGTCCCACAGACATCCGTAGACAGAGTGAAAACTCCTGCATAGACTGTTTATGCTTTTAAATCCTAGCTTTCAAGCTACTTGTAATTTACAGAGTTGCATACCTCAGAGCTTCAAAGACAGGATGGGCCTATTACATACAAAGTCAGGGACCTCGATGGATTTGGACCCAAGGCACTGAAGGTACTGTGAGCTCCTAGTTCTGGTGGCTCTGTGTGAGACTTGTGGGAGATTAGGTGTACTCTTTTCATGTTTGGGATTTGCTTGGCTGAGGGGGGAGCTTTCCACATGCTTATTATTAATCTCACCAACATCTTAAAGGAATCCTACAATAACTTTGTATTTTGAAAGCTTGCCCTGAAAACCATTATATTCTTGTGGCCTCAGTAGAAAGTATCCTTTTCTAAGGACAGCACGGCTTTGTGATGGTGAATCTTCATTGTCAAGTGGACAAGATGTGGAATCACCATGGAAACATATAGGTGTGTCTATGAGGGCATTTCCAGAAAGGTTTAACTGAGAAAGGAAGATGCAGCCTGAATTATGGAGGCATCACCTCAGGGAATGGGGTCCTACACTGACTAAAAGGGCGAAAACAGGCATTCCACTCTCCATTTCCTGAGTACAGATGCGTTGTGACCACCTAGCTGGTCCCCTTCCTGTGGCCACACCTTTTCCACCATGATGGACTAACTGTATCCCTCCATCTGTGTCCCAAAACAAACCTTGCTCCCTTAAATTGCTTCCTCAGGTACTGAATCATAGTCATGAGAAAATTAACTAAGACAACATTCATATTTATCACGTAACACAGTCTTTCACACCAATTCTAAACTGAATTTCAGGAACAGTACTATACCACAAAATTTTACCCAGAGTTGCTTTCCTACAGGAGCGTAAATTGAATAGAAGGGTATATGTCAGTAGTAGAGTGCTTGCTTGGAATGCATGAAGCTGGGATTCCAGTCCTTGCACCTCAAAATAAATCAAAAGGAAGAATGGAAGCCAGAGAAATCATGACCGTTAAGTTTAGGTTACATTTCTAGTCCATGGACAGATTGGTAATTAACATTAGTTTATCCTCAACAAGGATGGGAGTTTTGAATAATGTTCCAAATAGCCAGTTGTTAGGATCTTTAGGCAAATTGGTACATTGCTGTTTGAAATTTAACCATAAGTTTAAAATTATTCTTTCATTACTTCCTTTGGTAATTGAAAGCCGAATAAGTAGAATTTTAAAATAGACTTTTTAAAAAATTTAAAAAAATTTTTTTAGAAGAAGCATTTCATTACAGCTTTAACATACTCAATAACAATTTCTAGAGCAAAGATACATCTCTTTCAAAAGTGGCTATAAAATTTTTAGGTTCACAGTTGAATTAATACAGTTATACAATATTGAACTCAGTATAAACCCTGTAAGACATAAAATTGAATGAGTTTTTAACCTTTAAAAGAGATCTCCGCTTCATTTTAATATACACTGTTTCTTACAGAAAGACTCATTGTTTTTGCTAATAACATTTTTTACTCAATTTTCAGGATAAACAGATGTTGATTTCAGAGTTGTCCATATTTATTTAATATTTCAGTTACTTCTTGTAATTGGAAAAAGAATCAATGTTGGCTTCGTTCAATTGGTGGTCTTATTCACTATTTCCTAATAAAAATAGACAGTGCACAACCTTTATTAAATACTAATCCATTGGCGTTAGATATGACAGGGTATGCTGGGGCTGGCTTTCCTCTTTTCCTGCTAGATTGCCTCATCAGCAACAGAAACGTTTCTGATGCTGACCAGAAAATCAGTTTTCAATCAAATTTGAGAATCGACTTTTGAGGGATTTGTTACAAGTCCCTCTGCAGCCAGCAGGTTTGGTTCACTGTTGAGAGCAGCTGCTTTGTTCTGTTTTGGGGACGTTCAGTTCTGGAATAAGGACGGCGATGTCAGTCATAGGAAAGCACATCTAGACCCTTCTGTGGTGCTTGTTCTTCCTTTACAACATGAGTCTGTAGACACAGAAAGTTACTTTCAGAAACCTTCTGTTATGGTAACTTTTGCTCTGCCATCTGTGAACTTTTCTAACGCTCTTCTATACAGAGATCTTTGCACAGCTATTTGTTTCTCCAACTTAGATTGTTTACAATGGCGATCAACAAGTTGGCTTAGGGAAAGCAATGGATCATGTAATTGAATCCAGAACAGTTATTCTGAAGATCCAGCAGGCTGGGGTGACTGGGTGCAGCCTCTACACTACTGATAGGAAAACTGCTTTGTTCTAAAGTGAGATGGAGAAGATTTTTCTTTGGATATTTTTTCCAAATCACTTTAGATATATTCTCAAAGTATACACCCAGAAATCAAAGATAAGGGAGGGGCTGCTAAAAGGTTTTCTTTGCTCATTTGCGATTCATTCTTCGCCTGTAATTCTTTTTTTCCATTGTGGGCTCTAATGGGAAATGGCTCTTCTCCCATGAAAGCATGAGCGGTCTGCGAACCGTGAAGACATAGAAAGACAAGACTATAACAGAAAAGCTTTAGGTTCAGGTATTGACTTTGCTGTGTAAAACAATGCAGATCCGATGCCTTCTTCTGACTTCCCTGGGCACTGCACGACATGGGTGCACTTACATTCAGGCAGTACACTCAGACACATTAAATAAATAGACAGATAGATAGATAGATAGATAGATAGATAGATAGATAGATACTGTACACAAAACTCTTGCCTGTGAACTTTTTGGTGGCCCTTCATACTCTTCACCATCCAAGGGGAGAATCCCTGGGTGGCTGTGGTGACCCATAATGCTTTGCTCTGGGACTCGGTTACTTCCTCCAGACATAATTTATTTGAGCCATGATTTCATTTCTTTGGAGGTCTGAGCCCAAGGGCCTCAAATAATTTTCATGCTTATAGTCCATGTTATTAAAACACCCAGGATAACCAGCAGATAAACACTGCACTGTCAATAAAACTTTACTGAGTGCCACTGACAACTTTGCTCCCTGTCTGCTTTTTCCAATAACTATATTTAACCTTTATTATTTAGACCTAGTATTGAAATGTAAAACATGCAAATAGTTAATAAGAGGCTTGTCATGTGTTCTTTTATTGGGTCTATTCTATAAGAATGAAATTTCACATTAAGCATGTCACAGGAGAGTTTGTTAAAAGCTCGCAGCCACCAATGTGCCGACAGTCATAACACACAGCTTGCATTTTCGTATCTCACTCTCCTCAGTTTAAACTTTTTAGCAATGGTCTGGCCTGAGACTAAGTGACTGCTAATCTGCATGCCCTTAGACAATGCCCAGAACATTTGAGAATGCCTTTCCCACTCCAACAAGCTGGCAGTTTTATTTAAACAAATTCCTCTCCCCCAATTCCCTACAGAGAAGCTATTGTGTCCTTTTGTTGATTGTGGTGAATATATTGCAGATTTCCAGTTACCTCCCAGTGGACCACCCACCACAGGAAGGGTTTGTGAGCCACAGGCCACTGCTCACTATCTGCCTCTTCCCTTCTGGAGCCTGGAGAGAGGCCTTTGTCTCAGCAGCTCCAAGGGCTCTGTCTGCGCTTTTTCCTGACATGGAGTAACCAATGAATTCTACCGGGCCACTTTGGAGCAAATATGTTGTCTAACAGGGTAATAATTAGGTGGTAAAAAGAAAACATCCCATTGTTCCTTCACATAGGAGGTTGACAGTTTCCAGACACGGAGATTTGTGATGTGAAATTGTAGCAAGGGGGCAAGAGCTTTGACATGGGAAAGAACAAAGCATGTTGGGACGGACAGGTCACAGTTCTCTAGGCACTGAGCATTTATGCTCAAAACCTTGAATTTGCCACTTGAGAAGTAAATTGCTTACATAGTAAAATATCTCCTGTAAAGGGAACAGCATTTAAAAATATTATCTGTATTACGAGGTTTGATAGAACTTTAAAAAAGTGAATTGTGATTTGAAAAGTAACACATTGTATTGTACAAGCAATGTAGACTTTGATTTCTTGACTCAAATTCTTTTCCTAGGTAACTGATTTACGAGGGTAATTCATGAAATGTTTTCTATGTTGTATTTTAATTCTGTCTTGGTACTTTCCCATCATAAATAAAGATAATTCTATAAATTTCACTAATCAAATGGTATTTGAATTGACACAAAAAGTAAGAAAATAAATCTATACATTATAGTTATCAGTCACCATAAATTATAAATATACTCTAATTTTGAAAAATAAACACCTTGTATGATTATAGAAATTGATAAAATAAAATATCAAAAATTAAAAGTTAAATTCACTCTGTTAGCTACATTGACCTATGGATAATTGTCCTAACAATCACCTTTTCATCAAAAAGAAGTGTATATAATTTTAAACTTTCAGCTCTTCATAGTAATGTAGTAAGAATTTGGGTTTTAAAAATGCTTTAGGGTGGGGCTGGAGAGATGGTTCAGTGGCTAAGAGCACTTCCCACTCTTCTGCAGGACCTGGGCTCCTTTCCCAAAACCTGTATGATAGCTAACAACTGTCTGTAACACCAGTACCAAAGGAATCGGGCTTTTTTTCTGAAATCCGGGTGCATGTGCACATGCAGACAAGGCATCATACACAAAAATAATCAATAATAAGTAATAAATAAATAATTAATAAATGCTTTAGGGCTAGTGAGACGGTACAGGTGCTTGCCACACTAACCTGGTGAGCTGAGCTCAGTCCCTGGAACAATTGTAAAGACGGAAGGAAAGGACAGACTTCACAAAGTTGTTCTCTGACCTCTAAATGCCTGCCATAAGCACACATCCCCAACACATACATCAGACAATAATAATAAATCGAAATCATAAAATTGCTTTAGTTGTTTTCCTACAGTATTTGGAATGCAACAAAATATTAGTGGTTTTATAGAATGAATAGAAAAGAATCATAATTAAAGATAAACATGAAATATTTCACCTAACATCAACCATTTTGGCTTTCTTTCATCCCTTCGAGAAACAATTTTATTACTTAATAATCATATAGCTTTGAATCATGCACCCACAATTAAGCAGAAAGTTCTGGATTGTTTGAATCAAGTTCTTTTAGCTGCTTATGCACTAGAATTAGTTATCACTTCCATGCCCAATAGCAGCAGAGTGATGTGCTATCAGCTTTCTGCCTGCTTCCTTGATTCTAAAT